CACCAGTCTAGAAACTAGGAAACGGTGAGTTCTAGTCCCACTTTATTCATGAAAGCCAGATGGGTGACTTTTGCTCAAACACCAGGAGTCAGTGAGTTCTAGGCCCTCCTTACAGGCATAAAAGTGGGGCCAGTCACTCACTCTCAGCCCAGTCCACCTAACAAATTTGTTGTTGTGGGTAAGATCGGAAGAGGTGTGTTGGATATCTTCACCATCTTGAGTTGTTTGTAAAAATAAAGGAGAAATACAAATAAATAAGTAACAAGTAATAAAGAAGAAATATGAGCATATTGGCATAAGCCAAATAACACTTGGGCCCCAGTTAGATCAGAGCTGGGTCAAATCTGAAAGGATCATTTCTACAAGAAATAGTACAAAATTCGGCCATGCTCAGAGGAACATTTTGAATGTGTAACTGCATTCAAATCGATAGATAATGGGTCAGCTCTACTAGCCCATAACAGGGCAATATAAGCGACACACATGTCTTGGGAAAAATAAACAGTACAATAAAGAAGCATTAAATCTCAATTTATACTTTACCAAATATACAAGTCTGGACTTAAAGTCCTATGGAATATTACGGTACTTTCTAAGTCTACAGATGATAAAACTTTAAAGTGGAGTTTATTACACTAAGAAGAAAACCGAAAGACCAAAAGACTTCCTGGTCAGCAATAAGCCCAACTGAGCAGAGATTAACACCAGGATTAATACTGGACTAACAATCAAGCAGTGAACAATACCCCAATCAAGGATCTACCAATTCAGACAAATAAACAGTAAATAGCCTAATCAAGGAACCACCACGAACTCTCCCACAACGCAACGTTAACAGGGCAAGACGCTTGTATACAAACAAAGAACAAGACACTCTCCCTTCCAGCACTGATGAATTCCCTACATTGATGCCATCACTTGTATTTGTGATGACACGAACTGATGCACCACACACCTCTACCTGTAGCATGCATAAAATACACAGTTCTGGCTGAGGAGTTCTGGGAGTTGAAGTCCACAAGTCATAAAAGGGTCAAGTTTGAAGACCCCTGCTTTAGCATATACTGCAAAATAACTTGCATGTCTGCTGTCAGTTATCAGCATTTCCTGCTGGTAATGAAGTTCTTCCTTTGTCCTTTCTATCTCAACAATCTACCATAAACTCTGCCAACTGTAGTATGAAATGCATGCTGCCTAGTTCTCTAACATTAACGCGTGCATATTTGGATTACAGACAAGAAAGCCTCAAAGCTCAGTTCCTGGACTACATGCCCAGCTGAAGTTTTGTTGCTGGTAATGCATATCCATTTGTATGTGCATATATTCCCTAAAGATAAAAGTCTATTCAAATGTTATGAAATGCAATAATAATAATAATAATAATAATAATAATAATCTGGGAGTCTGTCAGGCTTCTTCAATAATTAATTTGAAACACAGAAGATGGAACTTTTGCAACAGTTTCCACATGAAATAAAATTAAGTGGATGGTGTTTTAGAGGGAAAAAATAATGTGGTCAGTAACGCTTTGCAAAATCACCAATTATGTTTTGACCTCATTCACTACATGGTTGTGTAGGGTATTAATTCCCCAACACTCATCTGACAAATGGCAGAGAATAAAATTTTTAGTCATGCCGTAAATTAAATGCTATGGCTTCCAAAAAAAAAGCCTCCCCCCCCAAGTAATTATCCCTCTTTTTGAAGCTAATTTGGAAAGTCTCCTTTGCAGATGGGAAGAAAACTCTCCCTTGTTTAAAGTAAATTTGCTTTAAAATGCTTAACTCAGTCCTTAAGTACCTCTACACCAAGTTCAGAATCATTATGGAAAACACTAACACACAGGAATCTTTATGGAAAACACTAAAATGGTAATCAAATCCACTGCCTGGGTTCTTCCCCAATATTAAAGATTGGCGGGCACCCAATGTCTCTGTTCCTTGCTTGCTAAAGGAGCATGCTGTACAATGTGATGGTTTAAGAGATGTAGTTGTCATGGCAACATCATGAAGGAAATATCACTGAGTCCACAACCAGACTAGAATCCTGCACATATTCTTCTACCCAAATCCAAAAGGTTAGCATAAGATGAGCATGAAAAAAACAACAGCCTGTAACACTTTCTCCAAACAGTGGTAATAAGCGTCAGTCCAGTGCTTTCATTTAATATAATGTTGAAAGAAAGTGGGGTTGATTACTTCCAGTATCACTATTTCCCAAGTCTTTAAGGTTCAGCTGAGACTACTTTCCCCTCTCTGATATATATGTTTTTTCCCTTTAATTTTTTTTTTAATTTTCTTAGGGTTTATATTACTGTTGTTTAATATTACAGCGACTAAAGACAGAAAAGTTACCCTTTCAAAGCTAAATCTGATCAAATTGTCTTTTTCAGTGCCTTAAAAACACAGAATTGCAATTAAGCTACCTTTTGGCTTGTTTATTAAGGCATATGAGGCCAGTGTTGAGCCTTACGTGCAAACTAGACTACTAGGGTTTGTGGTACAAACTGTGATTCAAAGCTTATTCCCTCGGAGTGGTATTGTTTCTATATTATTCTATGTATTATTCGTTTTTTATATTCATGCACCTTGTCAATGTAGCTTAATGCTATCAACGAATCAGGACAGAGATCTCAGTTTTAGTTAAAATGCGGCTTATTATAAGCAAAGATGGGCAATCTGTACTAATTAATTTTGAATTCCTTGGTTCCTAAAAAAAAAAAAAAAAAGAATAATGTGAATAATTTTTTGAAGTAATGGAGAGAATGTTAATAGCAATTTTACAATGAAAATCTCTTTTTTTGTGCAAAAGAATTAACATGTCCTATATAATTTCAAATCCATATCTGCAGGCAATACAATACTTTACTAGTGGATAATTTACATGTTTTACATTTCATCATCATCATCATCATCTGACTTGCACTGCGCTGCTTTCAGCTCTCTGTATAGAGACCCAGAATCACTTGCTGAGCGATAATAAAAATGGAAGAAATAAATAGAAAATATTATTATTGAATTACACATTCTATTTTTAAAATGTTATTCAAAACAAAATGCAGCTCCATAGCAACATGCAACGAAGGTCACTGGAACACGATTTCATTTATAACGTAGCAGGCAAAAAAAAAAAAAAAAAAAGAGGGTCAAATAGACTGCAACAGAAAAAAAATGTTAAAAGCAGCAAAGTGTAAATAATTCAAAGCACAGAGAGAAGAGTCTATAACTGTTCACAACAGATAAAATGTTCTTTACCTGCTCAAGCAAATAAAATGCATTAAATAAATAAAAATATGTTAAGCAAATAATAATGTATTAACCCAGTGCCTTAAAACTAACAGTGCAGAATTGATGTTGAGAGAACTTGGCAGTTTAAGTTGCCATTCTGTCATTTTAAAATCCCAACATACTGTTTACTCCGGGGTATTATCGGAAATGACTAAAGTCTGCCTTTTTAATTTCCCATGTTCTGGAAGAAGGGTGGGCTGACAGGATCACAATTTGCCCAGGACCCTCCAGAAACTTATAACGCTATCTTGCACTTTTATACTGTACCATACTCATACCATTAAAACTTCATCTGTCTGAAAAATGTGTCTCCCTCTCATCTTTCAATAATGTGCCCCGGAAGTCTCCTGTGGCCCTTCATTGGGTGATGAGCCCCTATCGCTTTCCATTCCAAGAATAAAAACAGGACTTGCAAATTGTTACAGAAGTGAGATGGGACAACTCAGAAAATAAATTAAAAAAAAAAAAAACATTCATAGTGTTAGGAACATATAACTGTCCTTCGAAGTCCCTCCTACCCAATCAACTCTAACCTTTTTTGGAATAGAAGGGTTTAACGCAGTGGTTCTCAACCTGTGGGTCGGGACCCCATTTGGGGTCGAACGACCATTTCACGGGGGTCGCCAAACAACGCAGTCCGCCATTTTTTCCCCCCTTTTCCTTAGCTGTGCTCCTCCCTTTTATTCTATTGGGTTTTGAAAGCCAATACAATAGACTCTCTTGAATAGAGTCTAATTCTATTGGCTTTCAAAAGCCAATAGGAATTGTCCAGGCTGTCTCTGCCCTGCTGAGCCCACCAAAAGTCCCATTCTGCAAACGGTGCTGCACCAGTTGAGTAGTCCTCGACATACGACTGGTTGAGTAGTCCTCGACTTACGACCAGTTGGGGGGTTGTGGCATTAAAAAGGTTGAGAACCACTGGTTTAACGTGACTTAATAACCAGCTGGAGGCAGGGGACACACACATGCACCAATAGAAGACAATATTTATAGCTCAGGGTTGAACTATAGAGTCCTTGCTGCTGCCTTGAGTTTGTTTGCTTTCTTTCAGAAGTTTCATTATCCAGCCAGGTAGCATCATCAGGTAACATCGTGCGCATTGATGATGTTACCTGGTTGGGTAATGAAACATTTGCAAGGAAACAAGCAAGCTCAGGTAGCACTACAGACCCCGCACATTTTTACGCGTGACAGATCGGTAGAATCCGCTCAAGAAATAATTTTTTTACAAGGCGATGCTCCAAGCATTTGAAGAGGAGAAACACAATGCACTGTCACTTCAATCTTATTTCAACTCCAGCCAAGTTCATTAATTTGTGCACTTCCCAAAGCTAATCCTAACATTAGTCAGGTAGAAGCAAACCCAAGCCAAAAGAAAATTAAATACATGCAAAACACATCAAACTATGTTTCCTCTGGTCCACATTAATCTGGCCATTGCTGATAATAGTCTTTTGCATCAAGGGGGGGTACGCATTCTTGTAATCTTGGTCCACTTCTAAAATAAGTCCTTTTTTCTTTCAGAACACCAAATCAGAAGATTGACTTCCAGAAAATCTCCAGAATTCCGTGGAGGAGAGGAACATAGAATATAGAAAAATAAGGCTAAAAGGGACCTCTTTGCTCAAGCAGGAGATCCTAACCCAGGGGTCTTCAAACTTGGCCCTTTTATGACTTGTGGACTTTAACTCCAGAATTCCTCAGCCAGGCACATGTGAGGATTTCTGGGAGTTGAGGTTCACAAGTCATAAAAGGGCCAAGTTTGAAGACCCCTGCCCTATACCATTCTGGACAAATGGCTGTCTAATCTTTTCTTGAAAACCTCCAGTGATGGACACCCACAAAACAGTAGGTTCTTCAGATTTCTAATCTATATTTCCAAGCACATTGTTTTAGTTTTCTTACAATTCTTACTATTTTTATTAGACAGAAACAAAACGAAAATAACCAACTTCTCCTCGCCACAATAGTTTTATCTTCTGAATTGGGAAGCCACTGAAAGTTAGTTGAGGGGGAACAAGGTTCAATGTCTTCACCAGGCTCCACTTGTGGGCTTCCTGGAAACATCTGCATTGGCCAACTGTGAAAAACAGGATGCTGGATTAGACAGGTGGATGTTTGATCTGCCCAGCAGGACACATCTTCTATTTTTATGTACATTAGAAACTGTATAACAATTAGAAACAGCAAGGAAGAGACATCCTACATTCCAAAGAGACAGTGGCAACATTTCAACCCACAAGCACGTATTTCTAAACTAGTGATTAGTAGGCACCATTTCAGGTGCTGTTTGTGGTTCCACAACTAGTTTTGTGACACACCTTCTTTGGTGGCCCTTATATCATGGAATATAATACACACGGAGCCTCAGAAGGCATCTTCCATTCTTGAATTGATAAAGAACTATCCTTTTCCAGTTGGATAGAGATTGCTTCATGCATTTTTTCTTGCATCTCTAATTGACTATTAATTTTAGTATGTATGTATGTATGTATGTATGTATGTATGTATGTATATATATATATATGTATATATGTATGTATGTATGTGTATGTGTATGTGTATATATATATATGGTTTGGTTTTAGCTGCTCTGTGAGATCCAGCGTGGTTAAAACCAGGATTGTTTTAATAAATGTTGCAAATTAAAAAAAAAAAAACCTAGATTGGAGAACGTATTTTCATCAAGGTAAGCTAAAGACTCACCAGTCTTGCTGGATTCAGAAATCACAATAAACCTGTGTTGTTTTAAACATAGTTGAATGAACAAGATACCATAGCTCAGATGTCTGAAGTTTGCATCTAAGGCTTTGGGAGGTCACCTTTAGCCTTAGCAGAATGGCATTCCGTAAACCAGTTGCATTTACACTTCTGACATAATGATCCATTTCTTTCCTAGATGACAGTCAACATTTCATGCTATAAAATACATTCATTGAACAATTATGCTTCATTAAGTTCTTTTTAAAGGCATTTTTATATAATGCGCCTGTAGACCTTATGGTTCCTCCAACATGCCGCTTGCTTTTTCATAGCTCCATTTGTATTCCTCAACCCCTACCCTTCCCAGGACTGGCTATTTGACTTTGTTCCAGCTACCTAGTGTGGGCTGTACTAACCAAGAAAGCTGCTGGACACAGAATTTTGCAGCCCAGATTTACTAGCCTCAGAGCGTGCTCTTAGACTAGAGCAGAGGTAGGCAACCTTGGCTCTTTTATGACTCGTGGACTTCAACTCCCAGAAAGAATCAATTCTACTGCTTCCCTGGGATCTAATTTATATTAATAATTTCAAATTCACGTGATACGGTGGGGGATAGAAACATCTGTCAATTCACACTTTAAATCAGGGAACCTGGAAGAAGTGCATATCCGAATGCTGCTATCATATTTATGAAAAACCTGAGGTCAAAAAGCGATGCCTCTTACTTAATTCAAAGACTTTTTTTTTTTTAATGCCAAGATGTTCCTGTTATTTCTCACAAAATGAGAGCAATACAGTGCCTGGTGCTATTTTTTTTTCCCCCTCCTCTTCCAGGAAAAGCAAAACCAAACCTTTCCAAACAGTGGGACTTGCTCCATGGGTAGAGGTTTTACATTTTAATTTCTCAGCCAAACCAAATTACTATGGCAACAACTTTGGTAGACAAGAGACGTAATTACAATAGTTAAATCCTACTCCGTCTGCAGGTTCCTATATGAACCTTCCCTCATTCTCTCCAGCCCCTACCTGGATGTTTGCTTCTTTTTTATAATTCAGTTTTCGAACAAAAACACTCTTTTCCCTCACATATTTTCTCAACTCCTGGAGGGATTTCCCCCCCCCCACTTCATTTTTTTAGGCTCTTGGCATAACCTGTAACTGGAAAAATAGTATGGGTGCAGGTGGAATTAAGGAGGCTGACGTACATTTACAACAGTATTCTTTAAAAAAAAAAAAGGTTGGACTTGAGACCCTGTCCATCTCCTAGGTTTTGGTGAACGTTAGGATAAATTGTGGTTTTTACAACCAAAAATGGTTTAAATCTTACTGGCAGACGCTTCCTAACAAGGGTAAGCCTGTAAACGATGCTTAAGACAGATTACTAGTAGTTAGGCTGAACTTTCTGGTGCTCCCTCACTTATACTGTTGAGAAGCACTTACTCTAACCTGCTACAAAATTCTCTCTTGTCCCCAGCCTTACGAAAATTGGAAAGGAAGATGCTTCAAATTTATTTGGTGGCCAAACAAGGCAACTAAAAAAGCCAGAATTTTAAAACTTCGCCACCATTCATGTGCCAGTAAAATTTCAGAAGCAGCTGTCTTTCAACCTTGAATGGACATTAAGTTTTAGATGCTCCGTTCCTGAAGGAAAAGAAGCTAAATTTCTAGATTGAAAAAAGGGCTAGAAGAAAAATGCAAGAGAAGGCAACAACCACATGCTAAGGGTTCTAAATAAAATCAATATAAGTAGCTACGCTACTGATTACTTCCTGGAGCTTTTAAAACTGGCAGTTCTGTAATATCAGAGGCATAACCAAGAAACACCTGCTTCCGGACTTAATAAACAGAAATGTGAGTTGTGTAATAGAGTATCTTGCGATGAACATACCACATCCATCAGCTATGATTCCGATATCGCTATGAAAAAAATATAGAACAATTACGACTGCAATGCTTTAAGTGAAAGAGTGCCTTAATACAAGGCCATACATACCTAAAATATCTGACCCATGTGAATGATTAATTCTGCAGCATCACTGACCAAGCCAAATCCCTAGAGAAATGGTGAAGTTTATTTTTTTCTCTCTTACCTACGCAGTAGGAGGTAACATCATTAGAAAGCATTTTAATATTTTTTTTATTCTTAATTTCAAGAAAGGTACATTGAATAGTAACAGTAACAACATCATTAACAAACCAAAAATCGGTGGTTAAAAGTACAGATGCTGTAGACAGTAAGTAGGTAAACTCCACCAAGAGACTTCCACCTGTGCAACTCAGATTGTGCACATGTTCTGTTTCTCAAATATTGCCTTTTTATCCTATAGTGACCTATTAAAGAGGCCAGTAGGTATCTGTATATGGCAGGACCGGATGCGTCATGCCAAAACTACACCCACCCCAGCTCCAGCAATGGGGAAAAAGTCGTGATACGTCGTGACACGTCATGTGACGTGGCTAGTTGGACACCCCTGGTATATGATTACACAGGAGAATATTTTTAAATCTAGTAAAAATGAATTTTATGCGTATAAAATGTGCAAAACCTTTTGCACTGGTAGTGTGATCCTATAAAGATTTACCTCAGTAGTCCCACCATATGATCTCTATTGGCATTTTGATTTTTGGGGGGGAGGGGAGATAAAATGCCAAGCATTAGAGACTGTGGCACAAAATGGCACATTTTAAAATTTTAATTAAACACCTTCATATCTCAGCTGAATGTGGCAAAAACAGATTCCTGCGATTATATACTAACATGATTTGCAAATAGAAAGTAACCAAATTATTTCAGCTAAAACAGGATCATAGCTTCAAGAGTTTCAATGACATGGGGGGGGGGAACCAATTATTACCTGTCAAAGTTTGCTTTTTATACTATTGTAGCGCATCATCAAGTATTTCTCAACTGAAGAATTCAAATTATCCAGGTCAAATTCAACTTCAAATGTCGGTTTCTCCTCATAAATGGCAACAGCAACAAAGACTGCAAAACGTGCAGTCAATCCCCACACGGTAAATGACATCTGATGCTCTGGGTCATTGTATTCAAAGAAATGCATCAAATATGGAACGTGTCCATTTCTTTGTAAAGGCACAACACTGTATTTCCTGGGATGTATAAAATATTCCAGTGGCACTGAGAACACATGACTGACTTCTTCTGGATTTGGTTGGGCTTGAAAAGTGTCTTCTATGAGGGCTACAACTGGAGTTACGATAGAATGAGTCTAAAAGGAAGAAAAGTAAAGTTATAGTTAAACGGTAATGTTTCCAATGAAGAACTCTTCCAATTCTCTTTAATCGTATTACTAAATAAATTTGGGGGAGGGGATCTCTAGGGTCTTACTAAATGCAAATGTCATGGTTCTGACTCAACTAAGCAAACATCTTCAAGACCAGGAGTCTTCAAACTTGGCGCTTTTATGACTTGTGGACTTCAACTCCAAGAATTCCTCAGCCAGGCACGCTGGCTGAGGAATTCTGAGAGTTGAAGTCTACAAGTCATAAAAGCCCCAAGTTTGAAGACTCCCTGGTCAAGACATTCCAATCTCTTAATGCAAAATTTTATTGAGCACACCAATTTGGCACATTATGAAAACAAAACCAGCTTTGGCCAGACCCCTCTCAGATGCACATAGTAAAAGCATTGAATTCTCCCTCCTTCCTCTGGGTCAGGTCATGTTGCCCAATCAAGTGGAAAAATATTATTATGAGAAAGCATCTCTCGGTCTGATGTAACGTCCTTGAATCTCATGGTCTGGCTTCTTAATCTTTGAAGTCTGCATACCAAACTGATCCCCTCCCCTCCCAGAGATTGTTGGCACGTTGAGAAGCAGTAACTGTTGCAGCAGGGAGAAAAAACTTCAAAACTTGACAGTGAACGAGGGACCATAAAAAATATAGTCTTCAGTTTTACAATTATGAATGGAATCTCAATGTTTTTGAAGACAACTAGGGACAAGCCTTGTACTACCTAAACGTATATTAAGTAACACGAAGGACGTATACAGTTCATAACTCTGGTTTGAGGTGTGAAACAAGCTTCCATTGTGGAAGATTTATTTCTGAAAACTACTGTAACCCAATATTGGGAATGGCATTGGATGGCGGTCAATGGAGCATTCCAGAATTCCCAGGTCAATTAATTTTGCACATCCCAATTTGTTATGTTGTTTTGGACTGCTCATTATGATGGACCCCCCCCCAAAGTACTTATAATCTGATTCCAAAGTTCCAATGGCTGCCACCCACTTCCCCGCAGTGATGTGATTGCATTTCGGCTACTTCGCAACCGGCCCACATTTATGGCTGTTTCCAGTGTCCTGTGGTCATGTGACTCCAATTTCTGATGTTTTAATGGGCATCTGCTTCCAATTTTCAGCAAAATATCCCCTAATGATTGCTTAACAACTGCCGATTCAATTTAGCAATCCTGATGACTCACTTAATAACTGCCACACACACAAACAAAAAGGTTAAATCAGGTTGGTCACATGATGAGCCCTTTACAACTTTCACAACTTACAACTGTAATGGGGAGAGACGATCTGCATTCCTTATAATTATAAAACTTAAAACAGAGTTCATTCTTTGAAAAGTACTTTATGTATCTAAAAAGATTGTTCCTGGATGACCATAGGATTTTCCAACTCTCACCTTAAAGGAAGCAACCTGGGGGAAGACACCTGTGGTTCCCTCAAGCAGCAGCTGAATACTTCAGATGCTACCACTGACGAGGTCCTGATCGTGGCCATTGCATTGATATTCATCAATGCAACCTACAGGACAGGAGCAAGCCTTCCCGGCAATTTGTAACGTAGACTTTTTTGGGAATTGGTGGAGGGCAGAGTTTAAATATTTGAGTCCTAAGTCACTAAAGGACACATAGATTCATGTCAATGCTGTCAATACAATGCCAAAGATCTTTTTTACGAGGCAACTGGACTTTCTTGTTTTTCTTTGAAGACGTTTTGCTTCTCATCCAAGAAGCTTCTTCAGCTCTGAAAACATCTTCAACGAAAAACAAGCAAGTCCAGTTGCCTCATAAAAAAAAACATCTTTGGGATAACTATGACTTGGATGACTGAGAAACTCTATAGACTGTAGATACAATGGATTAAGTCTGTTGTCATTTTAATTAGTGGCTGCCGATAGTTTTATCCTCCCACAAATTTGTTGTATCCCTTTTTAAGGCACATTCAAAATAACCTACAGCTTCTTTGAACTATTTCAGACCCTGGACTGCAAGGTGATCAAACCGGTCAGTCCTAGAGGAGATCAACCCTGACTGCTCTTTAGAAGGCCAGATCCTGAAGTTGAAACTCAAGTACTTTGGCCACCAAATGAGAAGGAAGGACTCACTGGAGAAGAGCCTAATGCTGGGAAAGATGGAGGGCAAGAGAAGAAGGGGACGACAGAGAAGGAGGTGGCTGGACGGAGTCACTGAAGCAGTAGGCGTGAGCTTAAATGGACTTCAGAAGATGGTAGAGGACAGGAAGATATGGACAAACATTGTCCATGGGGTCGGGATGGGTCGGACATGACTTCGCAACCAACAACATGTACCTACTTTATCTATTCCAGGAACAAGTCTACAGATGACTTCCACCTGTTCAGGAAGAAGACCCACTTCTTCTTTAGCTTCTCGAAGAGCTGTGGCAACTTCATCTGTGTCTGCTGGATCACTTCTACCTCCTGGAAAGCAAACGTCTCCTGGAGATGTTCTCAACTGGAATTAGAACATTAAAATGGTCGGTTGGGGAAGTCAGTCAGATGTTTGGACTGGATACGGCATTTTTATTTACCTATCAAATACTTTTCAAGAACCTGGGATAGGCCGATGTTATTGTTTGCTATGTAATTGAAGTTTCATTGAATTTCTTCATCCAATGTTAAATCCACAGTCATGTTCTCCCAGTTTGACATTTCTCAGTTTATGCTGTGCTTATAAGTTGGCTAATAATAATGGCTTTCGGGATTGATCATAAAGAGCAAAGTCAAGAAATACTTTAATTTAATTTAATTGAACGCTTAAATAAAACATTTAATTTAATTGCAAACTAGGGCCTAACAGAGCTGCAACGAAAGCTTTGAAAAGGATATTGCAAATGCTATGATATGTATAAAATTTAAAAAAAAGATTAGTATTCTTTAGGCAATGCTTTTTCCTGTGACAGTCTATGGATAATAATAATAATAATAATAATGTTGGAAGGGACCTTGGAGGTCATCAAGTCCAACCCCCTGCTCAGGCAGGTAACCCTATACAATTTTGGACAAGTGGCTGTCCAGTCTCTTGTTAAAGACTTCCAGTGTTGGAGCATTCACAGCTTCTGGAGGCAGATTGTTCCACTGGTTAATTGTTCTAACTGTCAGGAAATTTCTCCTTAGTTCTAGGTTATGAAAGTTGGATTTGGAAGAAGCATAACAGGAAAGAACACCAACATGTTTCTACACTGGTACTGGAGAAGACACTTGGACAGCCAGGAAAACAAACAAATTGATCACACACAAAAATCCAGTTGGCGTCACAAGATAACAAGATCTCTGGCTTCCAATTATAATATCATGCCAAGATGGGAGTTCTCTTAAGAAGTCCATAATGCCAGTTTAAGACTAGCTGGGCTTATAAAATCCTAGCTTAGATCAAGAACTAGTCAAAGTTAAGAGTCACTGAAATCAATGGGCTCAGCAAACTAAATTTAGCAACTTCTATGCATAAATCCTGTGGGGTTTCATAGCACTCATTTCCACTTTAAATATAAACTCGAGTCTCACACAGGGAGGACAAAGATCCAAATATTAGGTCAGTTGTTCTGTGCAATCTCTTGATCTTCTTCTTTATTTCCATTTTTATTCAAAATCAATACCATCAATATAGGAACTTAGCAAGCACAAACATGAACCAGACAGACTTTTGTAACTTCTGAATTCAGTTCTAAGGGAGTTATTGTGAGATAACAACTGGGTGCGGGGCATAAGTGGTTTCACATTGCAAAACCACGTTGTTATAATAATAAACATGCACAATATACACATGTCCCAAACAAAGCCAAGATGCTCAACTAAACAAAAAAGTAGGGGCCAAATGGATGAAAAGAAGAAATCACCAAGTAACTGTTAAAGCACTTGCATCGTGAAAGATGAAATCTCTCCTAAGATTATTTTCAATAAAATGCATTATACAAAAACCATGAGAAAAATCATATTTTCTACACTCAGATAATTCAGCAGAAATGTTTCTGAAAATCAAAGATGTGGGTCCATTAGAAAGAATAATCTGAATTAAAGTATTAGTATTTATTTAATTGCATTATTCATCAACTATGGCAGATAGGCGTAGAGATATGTGTATGAATGTGTGCCTGTCTGATTGCATTTGTTCTGTCTTGACTTGTTTACTACATCCTTAACTACTTACACCAAATTACCTCTGATTCAGGTTAATTACAAAGCATTTAAAATCTAACAAGGCAGACCACAATTATTATAGAAAAGGGAAGACAGAGAAAAGTTTTTTTTCCCCCTCTAAGCTTCAGAAAAAATAAGCTATTCCTCCAGCTCATGGAGATTTAAAGAAGCAACTTGCTTTAGCAAACATATTTAACACCTTTACCTGGACTACTGCTACTGCTAAAGTTTCTTGCTATTTTGGCTGCCGGTGACAGATGAAAAACACCCAAGGGAAATCAAGATGTAAACATTCTCCTGTCCTCAGATATTCCAACTTTCAAATTTATTGCATCAAAATTTCAATTAATGGCTGTAAGAAAAGAAGGGCAGTGCTGTATTGGATGGACTGATTATTAGTAGGGGAAAAACAGAAGAGATTGTGATGTAAAAGGAAAAGTGAACACTGTTGGGAGAATAAATGTAGGTTTAAGTTTAAGTACAGGTAGTCCTTGACTTACACCAGTTCATTTAGTGACTGTTTGAAGTTACGGCAGAACCCCAAAAAGTAAGTTGTGATCATTTTTCACACTTACCACCATTGCAGCAACCCCAGGGTCACGTGATCAAAATTCAGACACCAACTCATACTTACGATAATTGCAGTGCCCTGGGGTCATGTGATCACCTTTTGTGACCTTCTGGCAAGCAAAGTCAATGGGGAAGCTGGATTCATTTAACAACCGTGTTAGTAACTTAATAACTGCAGTATTTCACTTAACTGTGCAAGAAAGATCATAAAATGGGGCCGAATTCACTTAACAACTGTCTGGCTTAACAAAGGAAATTTGGGGGTCAACTTTGGTTGTAAATCAAGGATTACCTGTATAAGGAAGTTTAAACAGAGAGTGTGTTCCTCCCTCAAAAGGAGACACTATCAGTGTTAGCTCTACTTATCCAGACTGAATATATTTCTATACGTCTGTCCTCTCCTTTTATTTTAGTTTTTTTTTTATTTCATATGCTTCTAAAATATTCACCAAATTAACAGTGAAATTAGTTTTGGCTTTCATATTTACATACCTTCATTGATCTAACAGTGAAAAGAAGACACAGCTTTCCATCTTTGACCATCAATGGAATAAGAACTGAAGCTTTTGGTAATTGAATGTTGGAAAATCTGTCTCCAATGTCAAGCTTCCTTAATTGCAGCTTTGCCTTTTCTTTTATGCTCATTCTAGAATAAATAAAAAGAGCAAAACCTTTATTAGAAACAAATCAATCAGAAATGTCACTCCGCGATAATGAGAACTTTGCAAAAAGAAACACGAAAAATGATATTGTCAAATAGATTGCTTTTACTGCAAACACAGAGACATATAGGGGTCCTTAAAAGTTGGAGAACCCTTTTGAATTTTCAATATTTCTGAATAGACATGACCTAAAAAGCATGATTTGTTCTCCACACAAAAAGTAAAAATAGACAAAGAACCTAATTAAATAAATGAGTAGAAAACATTATAATTTCATTTATTTATCAAGAAAAATAATCCAAAGCTATAACTTGCAATGAAACAGGACAATATTGGTGATAATGGAATAAAACTGTTGCAATGCAGTAAGATTTATTATAAAAAAGGAATATGAATCAGACACATGATACTGAACAGTATGACCTTTGCTTTATGAGAAAAAAGCATGGCTGTGATAGTTTTACAGCTTAGTTTAATAATGAAATATTTCTGCAATCTTACTGGATGACGTATCATTTAGATTAATAAATGTAAAATAATTGCCACAGCTGATTCCACAGAGTATCAGAGGAGGGAAAAAAAGATTGTTACTTGAATTATAATAAGCCAGTTAAAGATGCTGAAAAAAGGATTATTTTCCAGAATTGCACACAGGGCCACGTTTGCATCCTTATACACTCCAAAGCAATTTTATGGAATTAGGTACAGTTCTTGAAGGCCAGTATATAAATTTACAAAACCGTTCGAATTTAAACAGCCCCAATTCTCATGGAGAACTACAAATACATACATGGAGTCTCATTCAGTCACTTAATAATAGTCCTTATTATCCTCTACTTGCATTTTACACTTAGAATTGTGTATAGTGTTTAATCTTAGCAATGGCCTGCCTTGAATAAAGTACCACTTAATTTTGAGTTAGGATTATTACATTCTTCAGTAAGAGTTTTAGCATAGACTAATGACCTTGTGCTGTGCTGTCTAATGCTAACAGTGCAGAATCAGCGTTTTACAAAATAAGTGCTAACTTTCATCAAAAGCTGAAGTCTTGACTAAAAGGGGATTATTGTCTATCCCAAAATTGGTTTGGGGGATTATCTGAGGCTGAAAAATCCTCCATTTCAGCAGTTTAGGCTGCAGGAAAAGAAAATCTCATTTACTTAGCAATAAACTATTAAAACTTATTGGATCTTAGGCTATTCTGTTAATGGTGTGTTAGATTTTAATACCACTTTTGAAAATATTTATATATTACCTATGTACTGTATATTTCTACGTGATACATATATGTATGTGCAATTTCATGGACCTAAAAAGCAGCATTAGTACTCTATGTGTAAATGTTCAATTGCTAATGTCTTTCCTTCTTCCATTTAAAAAAAAACAAACAACTTGCTCTGATGTTACCAAATTGTGTCAAGTGGCTAAACCAGAATACAAATATGTATCCTGCTCATCTTTTTTCCTTGCTTGCAGGTTTTTTCTCTCTCCTCCTTTCAAACAACCAATTTCTTTTTTTTAAAGAATCAGGAAAACTCTGCTCTTAGAGTCCTGATGTTAGCACGGACAATATTGAAAATATTTCATATTTAATATAACACTTATGTTAAATATTTTAATATTTTATCAGCTCCATTTCCAAAGGAAGAAAAAATAAATAAAAAATATAGCCTTTATGTACCGGCTTAAAGAAAACTCTCTCTCTCTCTCTCTCTCTCTCTGTATGTGTGTGTCTGTGTGATGTCTGTCTCTGTAAACCAGGGGTAGGCAATCTTGGCTTTTATGACTCGTGGACTTCAACTCCCAGAATTCCTGAGCCAGCAATGCTGGCTCAGGAATTCTGGGAGTTGAAGTCCACGAGTCACAAAAGAGCCAAGGTTGCCTATCACTATCCCTGGTGTAAACAAATAAAACATAACATATAAACACAATTGCTAGTTTCTACAGCACACTCGCCCCGCGAGGCCCCCTCCAAGGGAGCCGGGACTCCATAACCCGTAGTCCACAAAGTAGGAACCCCCGCCAACGGGCGGCGGGTATGGATTCATGGTTACCTGCCCGGCTCGCCATCCGCAGCCGCCATCTTTACCATCGGCCACCAGGTCGCCTTTCCTACCTTGCGCGCCTATTCGCTCTGTTGACGTGGATTGACAGCCCCTGCCCCCGCCCTTGCCGCTCCTCCGCCACCGCTATTGGATGGTTGGCTGAGAGGCGGGATCGAAAGGGAACCGGCGGCGAATCGGGAGAGGCTGTCGTCCAGGCCAGGGCTTGGGAGTGCAAGCTGGATGAGCCGGTGAAGCTGGTTCTGAATGAAGCAACGCTCGCTTTGTGCAAGGCTGCAGCAGAGTCAAATCTGAAACGGAAAATCGATTTGTTTTTATGCATTAATTCAAAGCCCTAAAAGAGATTGAGAGTGTGTTAGCAAAAATCTTGTCCCAGCCTGGTGCTCTCCAGGGATGTTGGATCTGTGCAGGACTATCTGGGCGAAGGGGTGATTTTTAGATTGATGTATCTAGAGGGCCACTGCAATCTGCTAAGAGCATGGCAGATTGATATGTTCTTCCATTCTTAAAGTGACCAATCGTCCTCCCCTAGGGAGGACAGTCCATTTGTACTCATTTAAATAATAATTAATAGGCATGTAAGCATAATTGCAATATAAAATGTTATGGTTACAAATGTTTCTTATTATGCATTTATCATATTATAGTGTATTCTGTATTGTTGCAATGAATAAAATGTTTCATTTATTTTTTTTCTTCAATTGTGTCCTCCTTTTCATTGTAAAAAAGTTGGTCAGCTTTCCATTCTGCGCTCATCATAATTGTTCATTACTGCCTTGATCTTTATGGGGGAAAAATAGCATGGGGTGTTCCATAAATTTGTGGAGGGGAAAATAAAGAAAATAAATGCACACGGTATGTTTCTGAGGCTCCTCTGCCAGGCAGGCAGGAAAATTAAAAAAACAGTGGAAAAACAGGACTGGGACTGCCTGAATTTTAGTGTGTAAATTTTAGATTACACCAGGGAGCACTTCTTAAAATTAACAGTTTGTTCTCTTCAGAGGTGAGGATCTAGAATCTGGTTATTTTCAGTATGCAGAATGCACTAGCGTAACAGAGAAGAAACACAGGTTTTCCTATTTTAAAATATATATATATATTTGTTTCTATTTCTTTTATTTATAACATCTTCACCTCTTCTGCTAAGAAAGGATCTGATATTTTTTTGGAATAGATTACGCTGAGGGACATAACATTTGTTATCAGAACTTCAGTGGCTATGCTAATCCATGTTTTACAACTAGAATGGCTGGATTTCCACAAAATTTAATGTATTTTTGATGTATGACCTCAGTTAAAGAATCTCATAGTTAAATGAACTTTAGCCACTTCATTCTTTGGCTATGTATAGTAGGCACTTTATTTTTCTTGTATGACTTCCCATGGGAAAAAAAATATCCAGCTATTGTAATTTATAAGGCAGAATTTATAACTTAATGTACTTAGTGAACCCAGCCATAACAATTTATATTAGACCTTCCTAATCTGGGTTTTTAAAAAAATTGGATAACTAATAGATGGCAGCAAAGAGTTAGTGTTTCTGTACCTATGTGCTGCCATCTAAAAGGCATCTGTATATTTGTTAGAGCCAAATCTGTTAGCCCTAAACTTATCTGATGAACCATGGCTAAATAAAATTCTGGAATACTAGACCTGGTTGAATCAGGTGTTCTTGCAATTTATGTGCAAATTCCATTTAATACAGTAATCACAAATGTAGAAATTTAGTCTGAATTTGGTAAAAATACTTTCTAAGGATGGGAGTCTGTATAATTTCTGACAGTATATGTGACATCTAAAGAGGACATTTGAAACATGGTTAAATGTGTGTCTGCTGTGAATACCCTGAACACAGAATTGTTCATTTGTTCATTGGTACATTTTAAGCCTTTTTTTCCTCAACCCCACCCTTCTCCTCCTCCTTTGATTTTCTCCACCACAGTGAGAACAAAGCTTGAAACAGGATTCTGTTTTGCTTTGACGCCTGCAACACCTAAGATGCCACAAACATCAACGTGCTGTAATAAGCAATAATTGCATCATAATCCTGCAACGGATCTTTGAACAAGTCAGAGTGCTCATCACAGTGAAAACAGTTATATTTGCAATGCAAGCGACAATAGGTGTAATGAGAATGGAGAGGCAAACTGTGACCATTTTATGTGCTGAAATGGCTCTCCAACTAGCTGCAAATTTATTTGATAAACCTAGTCCAAGAACAAGCAATCTTCTTTGCAATGTGTACAGTTTGCAGAATAGATTTAATTAATCCAGCACACATACAATTGTGCTGCAAGTAGCTTGTTCAGCCATCTGGTGTACTAGTTTACAACTGATATGTACCACTGAGTAATTTGTTTTGATTGTTTCATATTCTTTGGGGGATATTGATTAGTTTTTTTTTTCTATCTAACTTTTGTGCATGAAGTGTTTCTGCATTTTCTCCCAGGCTTTTGTGTGTGTGGTTACTTAGGAAAGCATTGTGTGCGTGTGTGTATTTATATGTTTATATATGTGTATATTTAAACTTTTAGTTTAAATCATCAAACAACATTGTGTTCAAGTTTGTATAAAACATGTTTTCATGTTTTTTTTAAGACAATCAACCTCAAAGTGTTGTGGAAACAAGCTGATAGTTTTTTTATATAAGAGCAGAGGATTAAAATGAGTTCTTATTTTGTTCTTTGGAGATAAGTAAAGAAGAATGCAAGATATCCAGGAAAAGCTTGACTTCCTCAACTCTGATCTATTTTTAAGACCAGAATCCTTGTTTTTTTTTTTTTTTTTTTTTTTTACTTAGGAATGGATGTAGGCAACTGAATACCAGAGATTGTAATCTCTGTAGCAATAAATTACTTGCCCATCTAACCTCCTAAAAAATATTTGTGGCATAAAAAAATATGCAGCAATTCAGTTTAAAACCCCTTGCTCAGTAGACTGACCGAGCTGGTAGACATTTTAAATTAAAAACCCAATGGTTCTCTGGGTTGCTTATTACTTAATCTGCAACAATCACTTCTAGAAGCTGTTGTTAGTACTGTGGCTTTGATATTCTTATCCCAAAGAGAAATACAGGTAGAGAGCACAGATCTGCTTTTTTATACTTTGGCTTATATAGATCAGACAGAACTTTGAGGTCTTTGACACTGTTTCTTCTTATTGATCCAAGTTTATTAGATAGGTATTTTGCTTTTGGAATATATAATCTTTGAAATTCCAATTAAGAATTGTCATCCAGTTGAATACACATTTTTTTAAAAGAACAGCTGAGATGTGACTCTTTTAAAATCTTAGTGAAAATACTGCCTTTTTGCACCCCACTTTTTCACAAAATAATTGAACCCATAATTTAAAAGGGTTTAAAACCTAGTAATAACTCAGCTGGCCACTAGAGGGCAGTATTTATCTTAGTAGACCATACAGTAAATATAGTAAATTTATGGTAACCACAGGTCATAGCAATGTTAGTAGACCATACTCTGTGGCAGAAGCAGCTTTCTGTTTTTAGAAACAGAACAATTTTAATTGAAAACCGGAAAATACACTTATGTAAAAAAACATTCCTATAGTTGCACAGAAACTCTGTCTGTCTGTCTGTCTCTAGCTATCTAGCTATCTCTTCTATCAGCAATCTATCATCTATATCTAATGTTAGGTAATATTTAATTTTAATTCATTGTTCAGCTTATCATACTCCATCTCTGAAAAAAACAATGTTCAGGTTTCCCTTGTGCCTGAATTTCTTAGCCATACTGCATAGAAATTTTTTGGGCAGTGCTGGGATTCAGGGTTTAATGACTGTGGTCCAGATTACAGATTTCTTGATATTTCACCAGCCACTGAGGCAGGCATGTTCAGAGGCACCTGAGCAGGGAAAACCTATATTGTACCAGTACATAGAAATCTTCTATTTCTCACTGTTTTGTAGTATAGTAACTGTCTTCAGATGACATGTCTTTCTAACAAGCTTTTAGGCATCAGCTTGCTCAGAAATTCCTCCCCCCCCAGTAGCATTCCTGCAAACCTCCCCTTTGTAATAAAGGTTGTCAAACTGATAACGGATCCAAGAAAACAACCAATAGCAAGCTTCCCTGTTATTAGTGAATATATTGGCTTCCTCACCAAACTGGTCAGTCCTAGAGGAGATCAACCCTGCTCTTTAGAAGGCCAGATTCTGAAGTTGAAACTCAAGTACTTTGGCCACCTAATGAGAAGGAAGGATTCACTGGAGAAGAGTCTAATACTAGGAAAGATCAAGGGCAATAGAAGAAGGGAACGACAGAGAACGAGGTGGCTGGATGGAGTCACTGAAGCAGTAGGCGTGAGCTTAAATGGACTCCAGAAGATGGTAGAGGACAGGAAGACCTGGAGGAACGTTGTCCATGGGGTCGCGATGGGTTGGACACAACTTTGCAACTAACAACAACAACAACAACAAGAGTTAATAGAATTTGAGAGGGGCTGGTCTTGGATCACTTGTGGGAATGTAATGATTCCAAGCTGATTCCTCTCTTGACTCTGCCTCTCCTTTAGCTACAAAAATCAGAAAATGTGCATTCTATATATAGGGATATTGTCAAGTAACCAGGAAAGTTAGATTTTCACAAGTTTCATGAATCAGATTTATTGTAAATAAAAAGGAATTAGGTTACAAATTTTGAAAAATTAGAACTGTGAGTACTTTAATCCCAGCTTTATTTGTGAATGCTGACACATAATTGTCCAAGCTCAAATTATCATACTCTGGACAGATTAATGAATACCTAGCTCTCTGGAGAAGTCTATAAGGCTGGGAAAGGTCATAAGGTGGATGAAAGGAAAGAGAAGAAAAGGAGAAATATCAGAACATCAAGGTCAATGGAGTAATGATAGTGGCAATGGGTGCATTGTTGCAAGACCGAAAGGACCAGTCTGGAGAGAAATCCTCCTGAATAAAATCTGTCTATGTGTTAGCTAAGAGAACCTACTGGATGCCACATAATCAACAATATTAAGACACATCATCTCCTTTGCTACTTATCCTCTTATGAACTTTCTCTTGGTTTAGGGAGGGACTGACTGGCTACCCATTTATGAGATATGAA